TGTAGTGGTAATAGTAGTAGTAGTGGTAATAGTAGTAGTTATAATAGTAGTAATAGTAGTAGTAATAGCAGTAGTTATAATAGTAATACTGGTGATAGTAGTAATAGTAGTAGTTAATAGTATTATAGTAGTAGTACTTTGTGGTAATAGTAGTAGTTATAGTAGTAGTAGTAGTAATAGCAGTAGTTATAAAAGTAGTAGTGGTAATAGTAGTAGTAGTAGCAGTTGTAATAGTAGTAGTAGTAATAGTAGTAGTAGTAATAGCAATAGGAATAATCGTAGTAGTGGTAATAGTAGTAGTAGTTATAGTAGCAGTAGTTATAATAGTAGTAGTGGTAATAGTAGTAGTAGTAGTAGTGGTAATAATAGTAGTAGTAGTAGTAGTAGTGGTAATAGTAGTAGTAGTAGTAGTAGTAGTAGTGGTAGTAGTAGCAGTGGTAGTAGTAGTAGTAATAGTAGCAGTAATAGTAGCAGTAGTTATAATAGTACGTAGTGGTAATAGTAGTAGCAGTAGTTATAATAGTAGTAGTGGTAATCGTAGTAGTAGTATTAGTAATAGCAGTAGTTATAATAGTAGTAGGTGAGGTGAGGTGAAAGTGGGTTTTACGTCGTGCTTGAGAAAATTTCGCTCATATGACGACGTGCATGCGTGTATGTGTATGTGTATGTGCGCCTGCTTGTACTAGCCCAGACTGAAGCTGGTTTTATAGTGCTAGCCCACTGAGATACCATGCCGCAGTGAAGCATGAATACCCCACTCAGACACATTATACTGACTCCGAGCCGACCCGACCAGTCCTTGTTGTACCCATTAATGCCGAGCGCCAGGCAGGGACCAACAAGTACCATATTTTAACGTCTTTTGGTATGACGCGGTTGGGGATCGAACCCGCGACCTTCCGCTCTCCGGGCGGACGCTCTAACCACTACACCGCGGAGGCGGTCAATAGTAGTAGTGGTAATAGTAGTAGTAGTATTAGTAGTTGTAATAGTAGTAGTAGTACTGACAATAGTAGTAGTAATAGTAATAGTAGCAATAATAATAGTAGTAGTAATATTATTAGTAATACTACTAGTAGTAATAGTACTATCTATACCGTTACTTATTTTGATGGTGAAAGCAATATCTGGCGCCTTGAAGCTCAGTGACGAGTACAATTTGCCAGGAACATGGTCCTGTTATCAACCCTCACACTACAAATGTCATAATTGTGTTTCATACACGGACATATCGATGGAAACTAATTAAAAGTTGTTATTTTTCAGACTAACGTCTGTGTGGAACCGCAGCAGTTCAACATTCAAACGAAAGACTTCTTTCTACCATCACTACAACAGATTGGTAACAGTATCAAAGACATTCGAGAATTCTACTGTCCTCGTGGTATGTTCTTTTTTCTATCCATCCAAGAAAGGTTTTTACATCAATGTTCCACTACACTGACAAATTTAAGATTGAAACAATCCCAGGAAGTAATTAATCGGTATGTCCTTATTGAAATGTGACATGTTTGTATGTCGCCCCATTCAGCAATATTCCAGATATATGGCGGCGGTCTGTAAATAATTAATTCTGGACCGACAGCATAAGCATCGATCTACGCAACTGGGATACGATGACATGTGCCAATCAAGTCTGACTACCCGATCCCGTTAGTCGCCTCTTAGGACAAGCATGAGTTGCTAAATTTCAATTCTAACCCGGACGTTAACGTGTCGGAATGTGTCACGTCCCCCAACACATACAAATAAATATTTCCTAACTGTATTAAATGCAGATGATTTATATATATATAAAGTCACAGTAAAATGCATTCAAATGTTATTATAAAATAATTATCACTGATATTCATGATTTATACTTGCAGGTAAACTTAGCATTGCGCCTAAAAGCCTTACCGCCAGTCTAAAGAGGATCACTGAAAAACTTGTAACTTTCCTTCAAGAAGAAACATTTTCTTTGTCCCAAAACAGTGGACTGATAGACACAGCCAAACCAAGACTTCTTCAAGAAACAGATGGTTTCATCTTTATCGCTAAGACATTGTGTTTTCCATTAAATATACCGTACAGTGAGTTGCCATCTGATATCCACTGCGACATTGTCTTGATGCTCCCTTCTCAACCAGCATTTGTGCTGACTGTAGTCGATCACGACACCACAGAAGCAAGGAAATACAACGTCAGTGTTGCTAGAGGGCTGATCACCTCCCTCAATAGGTTCACTGACGATGACTTTTCAGCTGTGTTTGGTGTTGTGTGCAAGTCTCATCTTGACTCATGGGATACATTTCAATCCAAGTTGAAGACGCTTGCGCATTCATGTAGCAGATTTGTTACCTTTGACTCCCTTTACATTTCAGAAGGCAAATATGATAAACTCATTACTTCTTTTTGGGCTTCAGTTGCCAAAGTAGAGCCTGGCGATCAGTTTCCCGACGCAGAAAGGATTAATTTCCTAACAAAAGAACAATGCACAGTGTTGTTAGAAAATATGAATTCCAAATATGTGTTTGTGTTGACGCTTCCAAAGTGTGGTGGAACTACTCTGATGTTGGAAGTTGCTAGAAGACTTCAAAACTTTCTACCAACCTATCTCATAGTCAAATCAGTGGAAGACAAGTCCAAGTACAGGTCAGATCATTTCACTATTTTACTGGAATGAATGAATGAATGAATGAATGATGAATGAATGAATGAATGAATGAATGAATGAATGAATGAATGAATGAATGAATATGGTTTTAGGCCGCTTTTAGCAATATTCCAGCAATATCACGGCGGGGGACACCACAAATGGGCTTCACATATTGTACCCATGTAGGGAATCGAACCCGGGCCTTCTGCGTGACAATGAATGTATGAATGTTTAACCAGGTAAAATGCACCACCCATGTGAATCAACATGTCCTTTAACATCATTAATTGCAAATAGTTACTGTCCAACTAGAAGAGAAACTGCTTCAGAACTCTTTACGGATGGTGGCAAGGTAACACATTTCCCAGCAACCGCAAAGCTGGCTCACGGATAAAATAAATACAAGACTCATCCTCTCCGGACACCATATTCTTGGATTTTGTCACAGAAATACTCATCCAATTAACGTATCACAAGATTTTTGCAAATATATACTGTCTAAATTATACATCTACCAAACACATAGCTACTTTTTAGCTTTTGCAACATGAACTTAACAAATTTTATCTTCTGAGTAGATATTCAGCAATTCTATTCTGCAAAATCGATCATTTTTATACATTTTGGGCATTATGTCAGAACCTATTTACTTCGTAATGTTGTCAGATGTTTGCTGCAACTTTCTTTGTAGCTTTGTTGAATTCATGATCACAACTATAAGGTAACATAAAACAAATTACTATATGATATTAGACTAATATGTACTTTTGCTGATTTTCTATTGTCTTGCATATCTATGATGTTTTTTGGGACATCTTAACGCATACGTGATCATCAAAGTCACAATGAAACAGTATTCATTATCAAGAAGTAGCGGACATGGTTAATTCCCAAGTAAAACCAAGTTTGATTAAACGTTAAGGTGTAAACGTTGAAAACAAAGTATATGAACTGATCTGGCACAGAATAGTTATGTCTATGACATATTTTTTCATATTGTATATTTTATACAGCCTGAGTCATGGCCTACTACTTTGTCAACAACAATTACCGTTTGGTATCTTCATAGTGTATATTTGTTTCAGATGTTCGTGTAAGAGTGTTTCAACTACATTGATTTCTGAAAGTCCTGCCATTACACATGTCTTGGACAACAACTGCGAGTCCGAGAGAGCCGCTGTCACAGAATCAATTCTACCTTTGCATGATGACCAAACCATCAAAATTACGTGGACCTTCTGTTCGGGTATATTTCAAGGACAAAATCATATCACAATACAATCAGAAATATAATCTATGTTAGACTAACTGAACAAATTACTATTTTCGCATGACAATGTACCAATACATATGAATGTACTTCAGAAATACGAAATACAAACATGAAATGAAGATGTCATTTTATAGAAGATTAATAGTTATCATATAAATACGTTTAGGCATAATTGGGGCGTCTGGGTAGCCTAGTGGTTAGAGCGTTCACTCCTCACGCCGACGGCCCGGGTACGATTCCCCACAATGGTACAATTTCTGAAGACCATTTCTGGTGTCCCCCGCCGAGATATTGCTGGAATATTGCTAAAATCGGCGTAAAACCATACTCAGTCAGTCAGTCAGGCATAATTGTACCCGATTCCATTTGTTTGCAAAGTTTTAAAAAATGTACCTTCGGCGTGTTGAAGTCTAAGGAAGGAAATAGCACATGGATTTGTAATGCACAGTAGACTTTACCTCATGGTATCTAGGGACGGTAATATTTCTTAACTATGTATCAAATAAGTAAAATCAAATTTAAAACTAATTCACAACATACAAAATAACACATATGGATGTATTTAAGCTCATTTTCTATATGCTGCAGACTTCATCAGGCCGCAAATTATGGATGAGATACTTGACTTGTTTGGATCATACCGGCATGTGCTTCTTGTTGGGTCAGCTGGTGAAGGAAAATCAGTCACGGGCCTTCTTCTTCTTGAGCACTTCAGGTCAAGGGGAATACGTGTACTACATGCAACAAGTGCCGCGAAAATGATGAGTGCTGTTCAAAACGCTGAAGAAACTTTCATCTTTTGCGATGACGTGTTTGGGAAATTCAGGTGCACATTTACATTAACACCAGATTTGGAAAATATGTTCAGTCGGCTCCAAACGAAGACAAACATTAAAATGCTGTTCACCAGCAGATGTGATGTTTACGACGATGCACGTCAGCGTTTGGGGAAGCTGAAATCACATTTTGAAGGTTCAAGGGAATTGAATCTAACAGAGAAAACCCAGACAAGTGAGAAGGCGAAAATGTTAGATAGATATTTAGAAGCAAGTAACAGGCGTATTCCTGACATGGAGAAGGAAAGCATAGTTTTGAAACAAAATACGCATGGATTTGCTCACTCGTGTCATTTGTTCGTCACTCTTGGAAAGGAGAATACAAAAGCCGGACAATTCTTTGACGATCCGTTGTATTTCGCTGAAAAACGCATTCTACAACTTTTGAGGGATTCTGTCATGAAGTGCCTCCTCTATCTCTTAACGGCATTCAGAGGTACACTTGATTTGGAAGATCCTGCTGAAGATTCAGCAGAAAAACGACGGAAGGTTATAAGACATGTTGGAGAAACATCCATGTCTGATTTTTCCTCCGTTGCTGCAGAGGAGCCATTCTTGTTTACAACAGAAGGTTCTGTGAAGTTTTCTCATCCATCGTTTCTTGAAGTATCGTCAAATATCATAGCCAAATGTGATATTTCATTCATCATACAATATGGACCTCTTGAACTGCTTGAAAAAGCAAGCACTATGAGAGACCAAACATACAGCATTAAAATTTCGGAACACATTCATTTCATCGAACTAGCAGAAAGGTTTTCACATGAAATAAAACTTGGTGCATTTGAAAGCTGCTGCTCACATCGATTGCTAAGAAATCAAAACTTTGTGGATCAAGTAATCTGTCACCTCCCCACTTCGACAGATGACTTAGCTATCGGCAGACTACTATATTGGGCATCCAGCAATGGTTCAGATGCGATGATGAAGCATTGTTGCAGAAGTACACACTTACGAGGGAAACGTGCCATCATGCAGTTTTGGGCTGTACCAGATGGGGCAATCATTCTGCATTGGAGTACATTATAAGCAGTTTGAAACTGACTTCACGGGATATTGATGACATCACTGAAGATGGGTTGCCATGCCTAATTGTAGCAGCCAATCAGAATAACGTTGAAGTGTGTAAAGTGCTAATCAAACACGACGTGGAAGTATACATCGCAGATCCACGTATGGGAGCAAATGCACTTCATTGGGCTGCTGCAGCTGGTCACTACGATGGTGTGGAGGTGCTGTCAAGACACATATCACTTGAACGTGAAAGCAATGGGGGAGTTACGCCTTTATTTGTGGCTGCAGAAAATGGTCACCTGGGTGTGTTTAAACTTCTCCTCCGAAAGGGTGCAGTTATCAATAAAAAGATAAAAAGCAGGATTGTGTCATTAACAAATCCTAGAAACGAAGGCCGTGCATTGGTTAAACAACTAAATGTATCAGATGAAGGTTTTACACCTCTTCATGTGGCAAGCTATGAAGGACATTTGGACATAGTAGAACTATTGATAACTGAAGGGGCTGATGCCAATTTGAAGGCTGATTTAGGACCTCCGGTAGCCTTTGCTGCAAAAGCAAATGATATGTGCATCTTTCGTCTGTTTCTCAGTGATGACAGAGTAGCTTTCAGTGACGTTATCTCTGCAGCATATGAATATGGTCGTACTGCAATGCTGAAAGAGGCTGTCCTACATAAACGGTCCAAAGCTAATGACATTATAAAAGCAACTTTGCAGGGAAATCTTGAAACTGTGAAGGAATTACTTGAGGAGTCTGAGGAAGGCTTAAGCTCACATATCGAAGGATACTCACTTCTTCATCTAGCAGCAGCTTTAAACCATGGAGATATTGTGGATGAGCTCCTACAAAGAAAGATTGAAGTGAACAAATCTTCTGAAGGTGGATTCACAGCTTTGCACGGAGCATCTATTACTGGCTCTTCTTCGGTTGTTGAAAGTCTCATCAGAAGGGAAGCTGATGTTGACCAGCTTGCTAATGGTTTTGGTCCTCTTCACTTTGCATCGATGTATGGAAACACAAATACAGCCAGGTTTCTGATACAACATCAAGCAAATATCCATCTGAAAGGTTATCATCAGTGGAGCCCACTACACGTTGCAAGCATCCACAATCAACCCGACCTTGTTCGGCTTTTGCTGGAGAACAATGCTGACGTGGAAGCTTTGTCTGAAGATCTCTCAACACCTCTTCTATTTGCTTCATACCTGAACAATATGGACATAGCAGATATATTGTTAGATCATGGAGCTGACTTGCATCCCAGAGGTATGTCATACCACCCACTTCTAGGTACTGCTCTCTTGGGCCACCCTGAAGCTGTGAACAATTTGTTGCAGAGAGGCGCAAAAGTGAATCATGTCAGTGCAGTTGGTGTAAGTGCTTTGCATGGAGCTGCATATATGGGGGCAATGGATGTGCTCGAGTGTCTTCTTGAGAATGAAGCAGATCCAAACCTGAAACTGTTTGAAGGGATATCACCTGAGGAGAAATCTAAAATTGCAAGTCATGTGGAGCAATGGTGCAAAAGCACTCCCGGGAAGGATATCAATTTGAGAAGGTATGATGGTGGTTCTGCACTACATATGGCTGTTGACATGGGTTACACAGACATGGTGGGACTTCTGTTGAAATCGGGCGCTGATCCGAATCTCAGGAACATGAACAATGAAACAGCAATAGATATTGCGAGGGAGAAGAAGCACAGTGGCATCTTGAGACTACTAGAATCGTCCTAAACTGGCTCTGCCATAAATGAACAAAGGTTCAAGAAGCGCCAAGAGCTGTACAAAGAAGTCGTGTTAGTTGTTTTTGTTGGATTGATTACAATTCAAAACAAATCTGACAAGCAAAACAAATTTTCGAAGTTGTGATATGAAAGGTACCTAATGGGGACGAGTGTCTCAATTTTTCTTCATGTACTTTAAGTTTTTTGTCTCAATTTATCGTTTGAAGAAAAACGTTGTTGGTTGGTCTGAATGACTCTGCCATGTTCTTTCTCAATATGTAACCTGACAATACAGTGCTCAGTTCAGCCTTTGAGAGACGTGAGGGGGGCCTGCAAGACAACCTATGATGTTCGCCGCATGATTCTATGGGTTGACAAAGGGACCTTTTTTACGACTGTCCATTTGGTCCAGGGGAGCTTTTCATTTCAGCAGCCATTTCAAGGTTGTAAGAAGCGGGAGCAATGAATGTTGTGTTCATCTGGGACATAATACTTTGTTTATTAATGATCCTCTGAATCTTAATAATGTCATATACTACAAAGCATGTCCTGCTTGACTGTGTTGTTATCCATCACAAGGATAAGTATTTTAGTGTTAAAACGCTGGAAGATCTTTTTAACAAAGTTAATTATCATTTACTTATTGAGTTTTTAAAAGGAATTGAACTGATTGATTTGATTCATACAATTTGTCGATATATGTAATTTAATGATTGGCAGTTTAGATTAGTAGCTTAGATTGTTAGTGGCTGTAGCCTCAAGGGGGTTAAAGTATTGTAAAATTAATGTTCTCCTGAACGGGTACGGAAGTTCCCAAACTCTCAAAGTAAATTTCAAACTTACCAGGATTTTAAGCGTAGAATTTTTGTGATTTCTATTATGGCTAAATTGGACTACAATCGCTGGCTGCTGAAGGGATGATGTAAATCCAAATAGGGTCCATGTAGGTAATAAAGGTACTGTAAGTCCCCATGGTCCTTAGTATGGTGATCAACCTTTGGTTGCTGGTGATCTATAGCCCGTTCTTATATTGTACTGTAATCTCTCGTGATATATTTTCATGATAGCGTACTAGTTTTGAATTAAGAACTGTGATAATCTAGTATTTTTACTGTCCTTCGACGGCAGGTTTTTACGTAATACATTTATTGATTTGAATATTGATATAAACTGTTCTCGTCACGATATGGCTGCAATATTGCTGAGGTGAGGTAAAATTGTAACTTATTGCTCGATATGCAAACGACAGGCAACTGCAAAACATCGCCTTGACACACTAGTAACTCAGCATATTTGACATACCTGGACAGAATGTCTATGCATCTGGGGTGTTTTGTTGACAATAGTAGGGTCAATCGGAAGTAGATTATCCGTCTACGAACAGAGCAGTTATCTCAGAGGACATTACAAAGTGCCCAAAATAGTCCGTTCACACTTTTTTAATAATACTGTTTGATATAGATATAGCAATGAATCCTGTAAATAAATGCACATCTCTTTGTTTCCACATGGTTGCAAGTCTACACTCCTCTTTCAAATGTTCCTGTTTTACACTGACACAACCGGTCATTTCTAGGGTGTAAATGACAATACCACTGTACATAATCATAATCACATACGGTTTGGGGCTGTAACTATCCATGTCGTTATACTGGTCATTTTATCACATGAAGTATATTACTGTAAAGGTGGTTTAATGTTCGTATAACAACATTTGTACTCATCTTAATGGTTTTCCTTTATATCAGAATATTTTGCTGAAATGTTTGGTACGTATTGCTAACAGTCTTCTTCTATGCAAGGTGTGTTTGGATTTGTAATGCCGGTACTAGATAATGACACTAGAATATGACACCTGGTCATATGACACTAGAAAATGACACCAGGACATATGACACTAGAAAATGACACCAGGACATATGACACTAGAAAAAGACACCTGGACATATGACATTAGAAAATGAAATCTGGACATATGACACTAGAAAATGACACCAGGACATATGACACTAGAAAATGACACCAGGACTGGACACTAGAAAATATGACACTAGAAAATGACACTAGGACATATGACACTAGAAAATGACACCAGGACATATGACACTAGAAAATGACACCAGGACATATGACACTAGAAAATGACACCAGTACATATGACACTAGAAAATGACACCAGGACATATGACACTAGAAAATGACACCAGGACATATGACACTAGAAAATGACACCAGGACATATGACACTAGAAAATGACACCAGGACATATGACACTAGAAAATGACACCAGGACATATGACACTAGAAAATGACACCAGGACATATGACACTAGAAAATGACACCAGGACATATGACACTAGAAAATGACACCAGGACATATGACACTAGAAAATGACACCAGGACATATGACACTAGAAAATGACACCAGGACATATGACACTAGAAAATGACACTAGGACATATGACACTAGAAAATGACACCTGTACATATGACACTAGAAAATGTCACCTGGACATATGACACTAGAAGATGACACCAGGACATATGACACTAGAAAATGACACCAGGACATATGACACTAGAAAATGACACCAGGACATATGACACTAGAAAATGACACCAGGACATATGACACTAGAAAATGACACCAGGACATATGACACTAGAAAATGACACCTGGACATATGACACTAGAAAATGACACCAGGACATATGACACTAGAAAATGACACCAGGACATATGACACTAGAAAATGACACCAGGACATATGACACTAGAAAATGACCACCAGACACTAGATGACACCAGGACATAGACACTAATGACACCAGGACATATGACACTAGAAAATGACACCAGGACATATGACACTAGAAAATGACACCTGGACATATGACACTAGAAAATGACACCAGGACATATGACACTAGAAAATGACACCTGGACATATGACACTAGAAAATGACACCTGGACATATGACACTAGAAAATGACACCAGGACATATGACACTAGAAGATGACACCAGGACATATGACACTAGAAAATGACACCAGGACATATGACACTAGAAAATATGACACCAGGACATATGACACTAGAAAATGACACCAGGACATATGACACTAGAAAATGACACCAGGACATATGACACTAGAAAATGACACCAGGACATATGACACTAGAAAATGACACCTGGACATATGACACTAGAAAATGACACCAGGACATATGACACTAGAAAATGACACCAGGACATATGACACTAGAAGATGACACCAGGACATATGACACTAGAAAATGACACCAGTACATATGACACTAGAAAATGACACCAGGACATATGACAGTAGAAAATGACACCAGGACATATGACACTAGAAAATGTCACCAGGACATATGACACTAGAAAATGACACCAGGACATATGACACTAGAAAATGACACCAGGACATATGACACAAGAAAATGACACTAGGACATATGACACTAGAAAATGACACCTGTACATATGACACTAGAAAATGACACCTGGACATATGACACTAGAAGATGACACCAGGACATATGACACTAGAAAATGACACCAGGACATATGACACTAGAAAATGACACCTGGACATATGACAGTAGAAAATGACACCAGGACATATGACAGTAGAAAATGACACCAGGACATATGACACTAGAAAATGACACCAGGACATATGACACTAGAAAATGACACCAGGACATATGACACTAGAAAATGACACCAGTACATATGACACTAGACAATGACACTGAAAATGACACCAGGACATATGACACTAGAAAATGACACCAGGACATATGACACTAGAAAATGACACCAGGACATATGACACTAGAAAATGACACCAGGACATATGACACTAGAAAATGACACCAGGACATATGACACTAGAAAATGACACCAGGACATATGACACTAGAAAATGACACCAGGACATATGACACTAGAAAATGACACCTGGACATATGACACTAGAAAATGACACCAGGACATATGACACTAGAAAATGACACCAGGACATATGACACTAGAAAAATGACACCAGGACATATGACACTAGAAAATGACACCAGGACATATGACACTAGAAAATGACACCAGGACATATGACACTAGAAAATGATACCTGGACATATGACACTAGAAAATGACACCAGGACATATGACACTAGAAAATGATACCAGGACATATGACACTAGAAAATGATACCAGGACATATGACACTAGAAAATGACACCAGGACATATGACACTAGAAAATGACACCAGGACATATGACACTAGAAAATAACACCTGGACATATGACACTAGAAAATGACACCAGGACATATGACACTAGAAAATGACACCAGGACATATGACACTAGAAGATGACACCAGGACATATGACACTAGAAAATGACACCAGGACATATGACACTAGAAAATGACACCAGGACATATGACACTAGAAAATGACACCAGGACATATGACACTAGAAAATGACACCAGGACATATGACACTAGAAAATGACACCAGGACATATGACACTAGAAAATGACACCTGGACATATGACACTAGAAAATGACACCAGGACATATGACACTAGAAAATGACACCAGGACATATGACACTAGAAAATGACACCAGGACATATGACACTAGAAAATGACACCAGGACATATGACACTAGAAAATGACACCAGGACATATGACACTAGAAAATGACACCAGGATATATGACACTAGAATCTGATACCTGGACATATGACACTAGAAAATGACACCAGGACATATGACACTAGAAAATGACACCAGGACATATGACACTAGAAAATGACACCAGGACATATGACACTAGAAAATGACACCAGGACATATGACACTAGAAATGACACCAGGACATATGACACTAGAAAATGACACCAGGACATATGACACTAGAAAATGACACTTGGACATATGACACTAGAAAATGACACCAGGACA